CCCCCCCCCCCCCTCACGACGGTTACGGTGGGATTTCCACAGCAGCAGCAGCGTTCCCCCATGCACGTCCTTTTTTTTATGCTCCAATTCCCCCGCTCCCCCGCACGGCACCCGCGGCCGGGGAGATGGCGTAACATCGGCACCACGCATACATCCCATATGCTGGGTCGTTGTGGAAGTACTCACAAACACGATCATCCCGCCATTTCAACTCTGTGGCGGCTGGCGACGTGATGAACGGCTTCGTCCGAACGCTATCCTTGATAGTGCTGTCGTCAGTCATTCTGAATGAGGGGCTATCGAGCAAGATTAGCTGGATGGCGCCTTCGGGAATCGAGCCAATGACTTACGTGACTGAAACGTCATATCTGCCGCTGAGTGTTCCTAGGAGGGCTGGCAATTTCCACCCAACTACCCGGGTAGAGGGCGCGGAAGGCTTGGGTCGACAGGTGAACTTCTTCTCTGACGTGTACGGCTGAATATGCGCCAACCCAATACATCGCCCAAACGTACTGACACGCCTCCATCGACACTCGACACGCGTCGGCAGCGTCGGCGGCGTTCGGAGAGTGTAGTACATACGAAACATGGCATCAGTCTCCTATCCTTCGTCGTGTTCTCTATCACAGCTGCGGCGACAGCAATGGTGGCAGAAGTCGAACAGGGCAACAGGGCAGTTTGCCGATGACTCTGGGACTCATCCCTAACTTCAATTTGCATCGTAGTTATACATGTCACCATCCGCCGCACGCCACATGCAGGACGAGTGTGGTCCACGTGACGCCCGAACCGTTTCAGAGCACGCTGGGCGGGATGGGAACTGCTGTGAAGTTTCTGTCTGTGGCACACTCGGAAAGACCGCTCTCAAATCGGCCGCTATACTCCGAGGTGGGGAGCTAGAACCGAAGCGTCACTTGCCTCCGTCCGACGGCGGTGGTGCGACAAATGACGCAAGAGATCGTTCCGCCACGTTACTGTTCGCGGTAAGTAGCGAGGTTGTCCTGTATTCTATCGAGTTGGTAGATTCGGAAACGAAGCCAGCAGTATTTGAGATTAGAATAACTTGATGTTTCCAGTCGGATAGGTTCATCACCTTTCTGGGAGACTCGGCTCCCTGTTTCATCCCGCTTTGTTCCGTTGAGTACTGCTGCAGTCTGCTGTTCAAGGGGGGGGGGGGGGGG